AGCCTTATGGACAGCACACATGTATTAGGGAAAGTGTGGTACACGCCTCAGAATAACTGATCCACATTAGAATACCATGCATTGGCTTCCAGCTGCAATGCAAGTGGCATAGAGTCCACACCCAAGTCTTTTGTTCTCCCCAGGTCTCAATTCCTCAACTGTTAAGTGGGGAGAGATGGAAGGGATAACAAAAGTGTGGGCTGGTATATGCCAGGCACAGCCCCTTGCTGTTCCAATTCTATAAGTCTATATGTAATTATACTTGGATGGCATTTAAGGATTTGATTTTTGTTTGAGAATTATTATTAGACTGGGGGGGGGGAGAAAAATTAGAGCTTAGTTCTGTGACTTTAACCCTCCAAGCTTCCTGTCATTCTTCAAGCACAGCAGGAAATGATTGTGTTTTTTTTAGCGATAATTTTTTTAATATTTATTTTTTAGTTTTCGGCGGACACAACATCTTGTATGTGGTGCTGAGGATGGAACCCAGGCTACATGCATGACAGGCGAGCATGCTACCCTTGAGCCACATCCCCAGCCCAGCAGGAAATGATTGTTGAATGCCCTGTGCCTGCAGGAGGCTAAGTGCTTTCCACAGGTATTCTCACTCAATCTTCATAAGAAAACCCTTGAAGTCATAATATCATCCTCACTTTACAGACCAAGAAACAAAGTGAGCTGTCCAAGGTCATGGCTAGAAAGTGCCTGAGCTTTCTAGTTGACTTAATGGTGTAATTGAAACATCTCCTTAGTTATCCATTGTCCCTGAGTAAACAATTCCCTCCCCCCTTTTTTTACTGGGCTGGGTAGGACTTTCAAACTCAGAAAGTAAGAAGGTACACACCTACTCTCCAAGGAAAACATTACAGAGTGAAGTTATTTGTTTTGCTGTTTCACAAATGTAACATAATTCAATGGTAACTTGAAAGTAAGACTTTGGGAAATTAACTGAAAATTTTGCACTGGTTTTTAGAAAAGGAATTTAAATAAGATACATATAATTGTAGAAATTACATTATTTGAAAGTGAATCTACATATATCTTCTTAATTGTGTACCACAGATGTAATTATATAGCTATCATTCATTGACATTTGTTACAGACTTGATACTGTGCTGAACATTTAAAAAAGATTTATCTTAATTTCATTCTGAATGAGCTAGGTATTAATAGTCCTATTTTACAGATGAGAAAAATTGGGTTTCTCTGAGAAGGTTAAATTCATTGCCTGAGGTCACACCGAATTAAGCAGTAGAGCTGAGAATCAAACTCAGATCTGACTTTGACTCCAAATTATGCCCTAAATTCTTCTCAATATGCTGCTATAGAATTAGAAAATACAACATACATAGAAAGAGTCTCTTACTAAGAACTTGATTAACTGCTTTTATCTAATTTACCTTTATTTGCATGTTGTTGGAATACTGAAAACTCATCTCTTTTACAAAAGTGACTCCCTCCTTTCACAGCAAACTCTGAAAGCAACATCTTTTCCTAGATTCCTCACCTCCATTATTAGATGTGTGAGGCTGGTGGACACTTAAGTGTAATTTGAAAACAGGTATAGTTTAATTCACAGTAATGAGCTAAAAAACAAAACAAAAAAAAGCCTACACATTATGTTATTTTCCTTGATGAAAATGAGAAAATGTAACATTAAATTTCAGGTTTCCCCCCCCCAAAAGGCTTTATTCTTATTGGAATTGTTTTATCTTTACCTGATCTAAAAAGAACTAGAATTCCAGCAAAGTTACCTATGTAGGATAGAATGCTTTATTTCCTCTTGTGAGACCTGTGGAGTAAGCAGGACTTATTCCAGCATCTCCTAAGATTAAGAAAAAACCGCTGAGATTTTGGTGGGAGGAATCCTTGGAACATTTAGCTGGGTTTATGCACTTGGCTGGGCCCTGCTGGTTGGAAGCAGTATGGAATTCAAAAGCAGCTACACGGTTTCCTGGGGGCTAAGAAGAGAACAAGCCCACGGTGGCTGCACACTTGCTGGCCCATGCTGCCTGTAGTCTGCCTGCCACGCCAACTGTGGGATGCAGAAGCAGGGCCAAGGTAGGTAGGAGTGTGTGTGGAGAGGTTCAGGCCTCCCAGCCAGCTGGGCCTGTTGACTTCTGCTGAGCCCCTGTAAATGGAGGTGCAAGTCATTAAAAAAAAAAACAAAAAACAAAAAACAAAACAAACTTAAAAGGCGATTTGCCAAGACTAACACCTAGATAGAAGAATTCAGGAAAAGGGGCTATTACTAATAGATCATCATCAGTTTTCTTGTTTCATGGATGGAGCATAGGATGAGAGGGCAAGGGCTGGGCACAGTGATTTCCAGTTACGGTAGGAAATTGCAGTCTGGTCAGGGCATAGATCGTATACAGCTCATTTCCAGAAGAGAGTACTATTAATTTCCTGAATGGGTTCAGAAACACACCATGGGCCAGAAGTAGTACAAGAAGTCTCTATTGGAGGTCACTACTAAAAATATTATAGAGCCATGACAGAAAAAGCATGGGGTCAGGGGTTTAGGTAAGGAACATCTTTAAATATCCTTATGCTGTCCTGTATGTTAAAAATCTCCCACAAATAAGGTTCTAGTAAACTAGTAACATACTTGATGCATTTACTTGGCCTTGAGCTACTAAATATTTTCCACTGGGAAGCATTAAGAAAAATGTTTGCTGAAGACCTATATTGCTTTGTCCCTGTCCTGTGTCCATTTCCACCTTTTTCTGGTAGCAATCTTTTTTTTCCTCTTCTTTTGAGAAATAATCTTCCCTGCTGCTGAATATCAGCTTGATGCTTAGATGAGTCAAAATGCTCTGGACACGCCTCGCCTGGATCCACTTGGCAATGAGACAGAAAATGGTGGTGACCATTTGTCCCAGTGGCTGCACCCTGAGGAGAAATCCACTAGTTACGAGGGCTATTCCAGAGCTGCCTTTTCTGATGTCTGTTCAAACTTTTCTTCATTTCTCTGAACTATTCATATTCATCCAGCCTGTCTCTTTTCTTCCTTCCTTCTCTCCTTCCTTCCTTATTTCTTTCATTCCTCCCTCCCTCTCCTTCTCTGAAGGTCAGTGTTTGTTGCTTATAATCAAAACCCTTAGGGCTGAGGATGTGGCTCAAGCGGTAGCGCGCTCGCCTGGCATGCGTGCGGCCCGGGTTCGATCCTCAGCACCACATACAAACAAAGATGTTGTGTCCGCCAAAAACTAAAAAATAAATATTAAAATTCTCTCTCTCCCTCTCTCTCTATCTTTAAAAAAAAACCTTATACAGTACTTTTAAATATTTTAAATCACTTTGAGATATGCTTGTATGCATTGAGAAAACTGCAAATCTCTGTTCTTGTAACAGAAATTATTTCAAGTTTGTGTCTGTTTGGCTTCATCTATTGCCATGTAAGTGGGGACTGTGGTATTGACAAAAGAGCCCTGGATGTGGTTGTGAGACTTTAGATGAGTCACATCACCTCCAGGCCCTTAATTTCTCATCTGTAGAATGAAGAGGTTTGGCTGAGTTCCCCATGGTCCCTTCCAGCTTGGAAGTGCAGTAATTCCACAGTGCTCTCTTCCCCAGGGCTTTTGTGGCATGGGGGGATTCAGTGTTTTTACTTCCCTGGAAAGTTGCGAGTCTACAGCTGACATAGAAATTGCAGAGTATTCACCAGGAGAACACAGTGTTGACTTCAAAAGAAGTGAAGAAGCAAGCACAGAGAGGAAGACCTTGTTTTAGAAATTCTGTCAATTTAGGAATAGAGGGTAGCAAACCCAGCCTCAAACAACAGAGGCCCTATTGTCTCATCAGATTGCACTGCTACACCCAGTGTCTGACACAGAGTGCCTGGTGTGCGCCAGCTCTCTAGGCTGCCTGGGGAGTTTCCAGACAGTACTGCTTCTTGCTATCATGTCATATTGCACCTAGGATATGGTAACTAGCCACTCCACCTGCTGACCAGGAGAGGAATATTCTGAATACACAGTTGGGAGTTAATTGTGAAAATGGATGAAAGCATAGCTACACAAATCAATCAGAAGTTTTCCCAAAGCTTATTCTTTTTGCTCCACTAGCAAATCCACTTTTGTTAACAGATGGGCACAATTTATTATAAACAAGAAGAGAATGGTTTGAAGGCTCATGGGATCATGAGCTTGTTCCTGCCACTGGGGTCACCCAGGCCTACTCTAAGAAAGAAAGCTATTAGAGCTGGTTTGATTGCTGCCTTGTTTTGTCATGTCACTAAATCTCTCTGGACCAACAAGGAAAGTAATTGCCTTCTGGGCTCAATCAAGCACAAGAGCATCCCCCACAGCTGGGAGCAGGCCATCTAGGGTTGGTATGCTTTCTGTTTGTTTAAATAAAACATTCCTTGATTTACTTCGTGCCTAATGAAATTTGGACCATTTTGACCTTCATGCTCTGGCTGGATCTTCAGTCTGATTGGAAGTCCACTTCCCTTCTTGCCCATCCCAAAGTCCCAGAGCCAAACTTTGAGTTTGAGATATTTTGACTGACAGGATTCACAGAGTGAAGCTCAAAAATTTACCTTTTCATGTGTAATTATGATTGGCCACAAACTGGCCCTTTCACCTACATCCAGGGCACAGCTAGAAAGATGCCTCTTTAGAACCCAGAAGCCTTCCAAGGTAGGACCTGGAAATGGACTGCTTTTAACACCACAGTTAATACTTTAATGAGTCCCAAAAGAATAAACATTCAGAAGCTTCCTTGGAAAGCTGCTTATCGGCTTAGCTGAGCAGAGTAATACATATTTTTATGGAAGATTTATGATAACAAGGAGCTGAGAAGATGGAGTGAACTAGGTCACCATGCTTGTTACTTTGCACAAATATTTCAATTATTCTGGTGCTCCTCCCCATCCATTACCATTCCCACCACACAACAAAAGCAAGCACTTGATACAGGAAGAAGATATGGAAGGTGATCCCAGCTTTCAGGGAGCATATGGGCATTTCCACAGAAGAGAAACCCTGACCTACCTGAGTTTTTGTCAGGCAGCCGGTTTATCCTCCACACGATGGCGTTGAAGGCATGCTCATACTTGGCAGTTCCCAGTGTTACTCTCATGACGGGCTCAGAACCAGAGACACTAGTTGAGCCAAAACTTGCCCCCCGATTCACTTTGGCTTTCAGAGACTTTTCCCCAAGGACACTTTCCCTGCGGAAGTTTTTCACCCACTCACTGGGCACTGGGTAACGCACCATTACATTCTCGCAGGGAACCTGGGTGAGAGGGTCACGGTTAGAGGAGAAACCGGATGACATCCTCAGCCAGCTTTGCACCTCCACCTCTGCCCCATTGATACTGGCTGCGGTCCTGAGCGTGAAAGGCAAGGACTTCTCTGCAAACACTGTCCTGAACCGCATGAGCTCAAACCGGCACGCATCCAAAGGGTTGAAGAGAATAACCCGAGAGCTACTGAACACATCCTCATCCACACACCCATGAAAATGGCATTCATGGAGCTTAATCCACTTTGTGGTCGTGGTGGGCATGATGTCCTGCCGGGAAACTATTTCATTTCCTTTCACAAGGACGTCATTGAGGCCCAAGCGGCACTCCGCAAGCCCAGAGAGAAAACTCAAAATGTGGATTCGTGTTAAGACGTGGTGCTGGAGAATCTGGTTGTCTCCTTTGCTCACAATGCCAGAGAATTCGTCTTTGACATCCACTGTGATCTCCTCTTCGAGGTAGTTCAGACCAACTGTGCTCAGGTCCATTGATAACACCGGCAGATCCATGAGACGGTCCTGAACCGCACGGATGAAGCTCAGGAAATCATCATAACTGGTGGTACCCAGCTTAATCACTTGTTCCCTCTCTGCTGTGTGAGCCACAGCAGGTTTGGGTTGGTATTTCTTCTTTTCCTTGTAGCTGACTCGGTCAATACGTAGGCTGTGGATCCTACCATTCTCATCATAGTTTTGAAGCCGGGGTTCGGAAACCTCATGGTACATCTCCAACTTGAACTCACGGAATGGTTTCTCTAGGCCCTGCTCATAGTAGAGCTGCAGGTAACCACTCTCCGTTAGTTTGATGTAGATTGGTCCCCAGTGCCTGGAGGACATGATATTTTTCTTCTCCGGGATCCTCAGCATCATTGGCCACCCATCCCTGGGCTGGGACAGAGCTGGCCCAGGTGGGTGAGCATCTAACTCAATCCAGGCTACTGGGTCATCATCAGGTAGTGTTGTGCTGCCAAAATGATCAGGATCATCGATGTGGAGCTGTTTAAGTTTTTCAACGGCATCAGAGTGTGATTGACTTTTGCTTGAATCATCAAAACTGATGGCATCCTGGTAGATGACAATGAGTGAATCTCTTTGGCTTTTGCCTGTGGTACTGGAAATGGAACTGTTTTGGGAACGCCTCTCCTGTTCCTCAAAGAAAGCACTGAAAGGGTTGATAGGAGAGGGCTGTATATCCTGTAAAGTCTCATTCAAGAAAGGATTGGTTGCCCTCCAAGGTGGTGCCTCAGGTATGAAAGGTGGTGCCTCAGGTATGAAAGGTGATGCCTCAGGTATGAAAGGTGGACGGTTTAAGGAAGAAATGTCTAACTTCTGAAGTTTGGAAAAGTTCATCAAAGTGCTCTTGGGACGATCCCTCTTAACTGACCCAGTGGAGTTAAAAGGTGCATCTGGGCCCACAGATGTAATAGATGGTATATCTGGCTTCAGAGGAGAGGTGACTGGTAGAGAAGGGAGGCTAATTTCATTGTCATCAAAAGTGACCCAGCTGGGGAAACGAGCAGAGGTCACTGGAGGGGTAGGGTGCCCGTTCATAGCTGGACTGCTGGTTTGCCAACTGATGGCCTCCATCTCTACCTCCTCATCTTCCTGAAGTAAGGAAGAATTATCTAAAAGGAAAAAGAGACCATATGAGGGCTGCCATTCAGGTCCTGTGGAGTTATAGAAAATTGAAGTAGGTGAAGGAGGGACTGCTAGAATTTTATCTTGAATCTAGTCAGTTCAAAAGCAGCTCAATACCTTGCCTCAAATGCTTGGTCTCATAATTTTGTAATGAGCACACCACCTTACATGAAGTTAAGAATATAATGGTAATATCAGAAGCATTAACTGGTAGGACCAAGCTCTGAAATAGATGTTTTCTACACGTATCTCTAAGGTGTATATTCTTAATTTTTAAGCATTGAAAACTACCTTCTATACAAAACAATATAAACTGACCTCATTTTTTTAAAAGTTCATTTCTGTCAGTGATAATATGACTACAAATAATATACTTGGAAGAATTCTAGCCCAAATACGATAAAAAAGACAAAATGTTAACATCATCAATATGTATGTAGTAAGTTCATACAACTGAATAAGAAAAACACAAACTCCAACAGAAATATGGGCAAATGACATAAACATAGAATTCATGAAAGAGAAGCTAAAAATGTCTAATAAGCACATGAAAAATATTGTCTCACTAGTAATAAGAAAAACAAAAATTAAACAAAAAATAATCAATGAAGATTTTCAAAGTTTTTATTTTTCAATGAGGGTTAGGGTGGCATGAGAGGAACACTAAATATACATCCAATGAGACTAAATTTCAACAAACACACTGAAAAGTAGTCTGGTGAGATAATTAAGGATCTTAGAAATGTTCATAAACTATGACTTAGTAATTCTACCCTTAAGAAATAAAACAGGTTGGGAATCAAGTTTGAAGAACAGAGATGTCCATTTTATCATTATTAGGAAGAAATAAAAGGAAAGATTTTAAACATCCAACAAGTGGGATGAACATTAAGAAA